CAGGTTCCCTAAATGATGACCACATGCGCTGACTCCCGAGCCCTGGGTGATCTCCTGGCAGGCTCTGCTCGGCAGGCCCACCTCTTGCTTGAGAAGCAACACAACAGGCGGGGAATGGCTGCTTTGAAATGCTGCAGAAGGACCAAGTTTCCAGCTTCTCCTACTTTTTTGGAGTGACATCTGAGAAGAAATCTGACTCTTCCCTGTAGGCCATGGAATTCTGAGTTCCTCTCCAGGTGGCTGACTGTTCTCCCAGACTCAGACGTGGAGGGCAGAGAGGACTTGGGACTGAAAAAGGGTGGTGTGGTGTGATGGGAAGAACTTGCTGATTTGAGGGAGAATATGCAAGTTCAAGTCCCTACTGAGCTTTAATTAGCAGTGTGGCCTTGGGCAAGTCAGTGAACGGATCTAGGCCTTGGGTTTTCTCAGCTATAAAAAACATCAAACCCATGGAGAAAAGTAAACCCTCATGTACTGCTGATGGGAATGAAGACTGGTGCAGCCACTATGGAAAACAATATGGAGATTTCTCAAAAAATTAAAAATAGAAATACCATATGATCCAGCTATCCCACCACTGGGTATTTATCCAAAGAACATAAAATCAACAAGAGACTTATGCACCCCTATTTCCATTGCAGCATTATTCACACTAGCCAAGACATGGAAGCAACCCAAGTGCCTATCAACAGATGAATGGGTAAAGAAGATGTGGTATATATCTACAATGGAATACTACTCAGCCATAAAAAAGATAAAATCGTCCCATTTGCAACAACATGGATGGACCTTGAGCGTATTAGGCTAAGTGAAATAAGCCAGACAGAGAAAGACAAATACTGTATGATTTCAATCATATGTGGAAGATAAACAAACACATAGATAAAGAGAACAGATTAGTGGTTACTAGAAGAGGAGAAGGTGGGGGGAGGGCGAAAGGGATAAAGGGGCACATATGTATGGTGACAGATGAAAACTAGGCTATTGGCCGTGAACATGATGTGGACTATACAGATACTGAACTATAACATACACCTGAAATTACACAGTGTTATAATCCAACATGACCTCAATAAAAAACAAAAAACCAAACCTGTGCATGTGCTTTATAGATTGCCAAGAACTACATGAAAGAAAGGTAGGATTACCTGGGTCATGCCATAATTTTAAAGGGGGTAATCTGCTGCTCAGGGAGGTTTGAGGACTTGCCTGACCTCTCAGCTGTGAGCAGCAGGGCTGGGACACCAGCCTGGTGTGTGTCCATTTAATGCTGCATCACAGTGCCTCGCCTGCTGGGTACAATTTGACTTTACTCTCAAGGTCAAAATGACCAAAGACAGTAGCCTCGTGGCCACCAGTGTTAGGGTGTTGGAGGAGGGTGCTGATGCTTCTTGAGACATCCTTTCTGCTGGGCTTGCCCGAGGAACAGTCACAACTCAGCATGCAATGGCGGTGGGTGTGAGGCTCACATGGTGTTTTCATGAGCAGTATTTCACTTGTTCTTCCAACAGCTGTAGGAGGTTGGGCTGTTCCAGGGACCTGGAAAATGGTGGTAGGTGTGGGATAAAGGTAGCATTTCATAAAAGAGAGATTGTGCAATTCGTGGTGTTGGGACAACTGGATAGTATTTAGAGAAGAATAAAGCTGGATCCCTACCTCATGGCACAGTAAATTCCCGAAAGGTCAAAGATGAAACTGTAAAAGAAGAAAATGAAGACAGTATGAAAAATAATCTTAGAGTGAAGATGTTTCAAAGGAACAGAAAGCCTAGAAACATAAAGTAAAAGATAGGTAAAACTGACTACATAACAGTATGTGTGGCAAAACTTAAAGGTAATGGAACTGTGAAAAGTACTTTCAATACATATACAGTAGTCCCCCCTTATCCGAGGTTTCGCTTTCCGTGGTTTCAGTTACCCAAGATCAAATGTGGTCTGAAAATGTTAAATGGAAAATTCCAGAAATAAACAATTTTTAAGTTTTAAATTGTGTGCAATTCTGAGTAGTGTGATGAAATCTCACACCATCCCACTCCATCCTGCCCAGGACGTGGATCATCCCTTTGTCCAGTGTGTCCACGCTGTATACGCTGCCTGCCTGTTAGTCACTTGGTAGCCATCTCGGTTATCAGATCGACTGTCAAGGTATCACAGCGCTTGTGTTCAAGTAACCCTTATTTTACTTAATAATGGCCCCAAAGCACGAGGGTAGTGATGCTGGCAATTCGGATACGCCAGAGAGAAGCTGTAAAGTGCTTCCTTTAAGTGAAAAGGTAAAAGTTCTCAACTTAATAAGGAAAGAAAAAAAATCATATGCTGAGGTTGCTAAGATCTATGGTAAATTTTATTACACTATATTGTTATAATTGTTCATTTTATTATTGGTTATTGTTGTTAATCTCTTACTGTGCCTAACTTACAAATTAAACTTTATAATAGGTATGTATGTATAGCAAAAAACATAGTATATGTAGGGTTCGATAGTATGCGTGGTTTCAGGCATCCACTGAGGGTCTTGGAACGTATCCCCTGTGGATATGGGGAGACTACTGTAATAAGCAAAAGCTGCTCTGTAGTATAAAAAGAGCTCCTGTACACCTGTAGGAAAATGACCAGTATCCCAAAAGATAAATGGACAGTATTAGGTAGTTCAAAGTATTATAACATGTGAAAAGATACTCAATCTTACTTGTAAGGAGGGTGGTAATAAATCAAACAGAAACTGCATGAAATTTCATTATTTTCACCTATCAGATTGGCCAAGATGAAAAGTTTAGTAGTAAGCAGTGTTGTTTTGTTTTAAAGGCATCTCCCCATCTTTTTATGGGAGTATCACTGACACAGTCTCTGGAAGGCTCTTTGCAACATTTGCTGAAATTAAAGACGCAGACATCCTGTGACGCAGCAATTCCACTATGGAAGATTTCTGTTGCAAATATTGTCACACATAAGTGCAAAGACACGTGTACAAGGAAGTTGTAGCAGGTAGGAAGATTTGAAACGATCTCAATGACCCCCCACCCCTAGGCAATAGTGGTGACTAAAAAGAATGAGATCTACTTGGGTGGTTAGGAAATAAACTCCAAGATGTTTCAGAGGGAAAAAAATCAAGGTACAGAATGGTATGTTGAAAAAGCTCCCACATGTGTAAATAAATGCTCGTTTATGGCAGAGAAAATTGGAAAGATACCTCATAGTGGTGCCCCTGGAGAGAGGGTCTCAGGTTCTGCGGTGGGAGAGAGACTTAATTTTTACAATGGGCATTTATTACTTTCTATCCTGTTTGGTATTCTTCTCGATTCCTAAATAAGAGGATTCATGTCTCTCATCTATTTTAGAAGGTTAGCATTATCACTTTGATGCTGTTGCTCTCTCATTCTTGGTTCTATCCTTCCAGAATCCCTGTTACATGTATCTTGGACTTTCTCATCTAAGCCTCCACATCTCTGAACTGCTCTTTCATATTTACTTTCTATTTCTCTAGGCTGCGTTATGGATATTTGCTTTTGATTTATGTTGTAGTTCATGAATTCTCTTTCAATCATGTCAAAAGTTATGTAACCTATTGACTGAGTTTTTTAAACTTAAGGAACCATATTTTTATCTTTAGAAGTTATTTTTTTTAAATCTGTCTTGTCTTTTTTCTTTCTTTTTTTTTTTTTTTGTGAAGAAGATCAGCCCTGAGCTAACATCCATGCCAATCCTCCTCTTTTTGCTGAGGAATACCGGCCCTGAGCTAACATCTATTGCCAATCCTCCTCCCCCTTTTTTTTCCCCCTTTTTCTCCCCAAAGCCCCAGTAGATAGTTGTATGTCATAGTTGCACATCCTTCTAGTTGCTATACGTGGGACGCGGCCTCAGCATGGCCGGAGAAGCGGTGCGTCGGTGCGCGCCCGGGATCCGAACCGGGCCGCCAATAGTGGAGCACGTGCACTTAACCGCTAAGCCACAGGGCCGGCCCCCAAAAAATAAATAAATAAAATAAAATAAAATCTGTCTTGTCAATTTTATCAGTGTCTTATTCCTCTCCCATCTTTTTGATCCCTTCTTTAATGCCCGTAGCCATTTTGAATTGCTATTTCATGTTCTATATATTATTTTATAGTTTGTGTATTGTATTATCTGATTTCTTGGGGCAATACTTATTTGGTTTTTGCTGAAATAGTGGATTGTTTCCTTGTGTTTTTCAATTTGGGGCTGTAAGCTCATCTTGAGTGTGGCCATATCTATGAGAATCTTGTGAAACCTTGGTTGAGAGTAAACTCCTCTAAGGAGGATTAGCGTTTGTGTCCTAAGGTGTCATGAACCAAGGACAACTGTTTATTTTACTTTCTCAGTTTGGGGGGTCCCAGACCTCTACAGAAGGGGTGAATATTTAACAACTGGTTAAATATTTTGACATTCTGTAGAGGCTCCAGCTCCCATGAGCAGTCCTGTGGGGTGACTCTCCAGGACTGCCTGCTGGCAGCAGTGGTGGCAGCCTAGGTCAGCCAGATGGACACTGGAGGGCACATAGTTGTACTCATGGCTATGATTTATTATGGTGAAAGGATACAAGGAAAAGTCAGCCAAGGGAAAAGGCGTGTGGGGTGAAGGCCCAGGGAAACCAGGCACCAGCTTCTGAGGGTCCTCTCCCAGTGGAGTCTCACAGGACAGGCTCAACTCCTCCAGTGAAGGGTTGTGACAACACATGGGAAATGTCATCTACTGGGAAGCTCATTAGAAACTCAGTACCCAGGGTTTTTACTGGGGGCTGGTCATATAGGAACCCTCTGCCTAGTGCACATCAAAATCCCAGACTCCATTTCAGCATAAGCTAAGTTGTTGATACAAACAGTTTGGGCACAGTGAGCCACTCATCAATTAGGGTGGTGGGGACCCTTCCAAAATCCAAGTTCCCAGATGCCAGCCAAGGGCTAATCTTGCAACAGGCCTTTCTAAGGCGAGCAGCCTCAGGCCTGCTGTGTTAACTCTTCTCTGCATGGTCCATCCCCTTGGCCCATGGCCAAAGGACCTTATAGCACAATTGTCATCAGTAAGACCCCACAGACAGGTGAGAACAACCTGCAGTATTGATCTCAGTGATGCCCTTACGGGTCCTGGATTTAGCCGGTTAAAACAAAGCCCATTAGCCATAAAGATCTACCTTAGAAAGCCAGGTGCCTTCTTCCTTAAGTTTCTGTATGAACCTTTTCTCACTCGACCCGAGGCATCAATTCAGGCATAGTACAACTCTGGCCAGAAAATGGAAGCTGACCTGAAAGATTCCAGGGCTGAGGCAGTGTCGTGAGGGTCAGGAGCACACACAAAAAGTACAGTCCCTGGGGCCAGCCCCGTGGCTTAGCGGTTAAGTGCATGCGCTCCGCTACTGGCGGCCCGGGTTCGGATCCCGGGCGCGCACCAACGCACCGCTTGTCTGGCCACGCTGAGGCGGCGTCCCACATACAGCAACTAGAAGGATGTGCAACTATGACATACAACTATCTACTGGGGCTTTGGGGAGAAAAAGGGAACACAAAAAAGGAGGAGATTGGCAATAGATGTTAGCTCAGGGCTGGTCTTCCTCAGCAAAAAGAGGAGGATTGGCATGGATGTTAGCTCAGGGCTGGTCTTCCTCAGCAAAAAGAGGAGGATTGGCATGGATGTTAGCTCAGGGCTGATCTTCCTCACACACACAAAAAAAAGTCCCAGAGGGCACACGTGGTCCCCTGGACACAGAGTTTACAGCTAACAGCACCCCGTTACAGTGTAATGGCACCCCAAGGAGGACATACACCAGGTGGTACAGGCTGCCAGGCCCCAACGTGGCCTCCCATGTTCTCAGCCCAGACCGAATAATTCAGGTCAGTCGTGGTTTCAGAGGGACAGCCTGAGGCAGTCAGTTCCAGGCAGTTTTGCGTGTCTGTGGCGCCAGTGCACAGCTTCACAAGGATGGACCACGCCTGGAAGTGTTCTCGGGGGAGAGTGCAGGTACTGGGCCCCTGCTGTCTCGGTTGGCACTCTTGGGTGTGATCCTGGGCTCAGCAGTCTGGATTCAAAGTGCTCCCAGCAGCCGGGAAAGGCAGCACAGGCGTTTCCTCAGGAAGAGGGGAAAGCTTCCAGGAACAGTTCTGAAAATCAGACCGTTCATGCCCTCCCGCCGCCTCTGTACCTCCCTTGGTGCTGGGGTTCTGTTTTCCTCCATGATCATGAACTCAGTGTGCCCCATTCAGCAATCATAACTTCACATTTTTTCAGTCATCCCTTCTTCTCCCCCAGACCTTTCATCTAGAAGGGTTGTATGCACAGGGACAAAAGCACTTTTATATGATTTAAACAGAATGACACATCAAACTCAGGAATCAGTCAGGATGAAATCCTGAACTTTCAAACATTTTTGAAGTGGGTTTACATGATCTCTCACTCCATTAGTCCTGACCGTTTATCCACTGAGCAGCCTAGAAATGATCAACCCCTTTCTGGGGACAGCTGCACTTAATAATCAAACTGCCTTCCTCAGGTGTGTGTACCAGGAGAACGGTGAGGGAAATAGAGGCAGGCTGTCAGTCCACTGCTGGAAACTGCCGCTAATCTGGACAGCCAAACACAGGGCAACGGCATCCTACCCAGACATCCCCAGGGGTCCCGGTCTGTCGGGAGCACGTGGAGTCGCTGTGCTGCCCCTTCCCCACCTGGCAGCTTTTGGCAGAAATCACCAGTTAGGAACACGACCAGCCTCGGCCTCAGAAATGCAGAGCCAACCAGCAGCTGGATTTCAGGTGGTCCCATCGGAGAGCAAGCTCTTTCCTGTGGGCATCTGTATGCGACCCATGCGGTCCAGCCAGCATCTGATGGTTTCATAGCTAGGGGCCCCACAGAGGGGTGTCCCAAATCTGCAGCTGTCCTGGCTGGAAGTTCTGCCCACCGAGTTTGGCCTCGCTTTTGTTCAGCACGGCTCGGGCCGAGGCTCCGACAGCCCAGAGCTGACAGTGTCCAGGCAGTTAGCATCTGTGGACTCAGGATTGAAAAAAAAAAAAAAGCCAGCGGCAGCCGAGATACTACAAGGCCAGACAGCTACACTGTGTCCCAGGTCCAAGTGACAAGCAGGTGCTCTTGAGCTCTTTTGTCTTGTCATGTTTAGAGTGCCAATGGACCCACTCAAAAATATGCACCCAGCTGGAAAATCATCAGCTTCTCAGGCTGGTGACGTCACAAGAGCTCCTTAGCAACTAATGCTACTTTTGGTTTAAAAGCAAATTCACTTTTTAAAACTCCAAAAGTGATCTCCATCTGGAAATTGCCTCTCTTCCTGGTGTCTTCCTTTTTCCAGAGACTCCAATAGGCAAAAGTTATAGCAAAAATCATCAGTTATGGAGACTTGTTTTTAATACTCAGAACTTAAATTCCAACTCGCCCACTGGCGGCACAAAATAAGGGGGCTGTGCTCCACCAACACTTCTTCTTCCCAGCCCTCCCCGATCGGGTCCCCTCGCATTTATGAAATTACAAGCAGTGAACGTTTTCCATCTACTTTTACCCCCCATCCAGGTGCAATAGCCACAGAATACAAAGGTATTTTAAAAATGACAGCCCTGGTGTGACTTCCAGTAGGCCCAGGGCCCCTCTGGCCTCCCAGACATGCCGTTGAGGGGATGTGTGGGTCATGTTGCAGTGCCCCAGAGGGAGGGGGGTCACCCCAGTAGTGCACATGCATTACATGCCCTGTATTTATTTCCTAGGGTGGTCATAACAAATGACCACAAACTGGGTGGCTAAGCAAACAGAAACGTCTTCTGTCACAGTTCTGCAGGCTTGAAGCCCAAAATTAAGATGTTAGCAGGGCCAGGTCCCTCCGAAGGCTCTAAGGGAGAAGCCTTCCTTGCCTCTTCCAGTTTGTGGTGGCTCCAGGAGTTCCTTGGCTTGTGGCTGCATCACTCCAATCTCTGCCTCCATCTTCCCATGGCTCCCCTTCTTCTCTCTGTGTGTCTCCTCTGTGTGTCTCTTGTAAGGATATTTGTCATTGGATTTAGGGACTAGCCTAATAATCCAGGATGATCTCATCTCGAGATCCTTAATTATATCAACAAAGACCCTATTTCCAAATAAGTTCACATTCACAGGTTCTGGGTAGACATATCTTTTGGGGGACCACCATTCAACCCGCTGCATGCAAGATCTGTCTGCCATTAGAGACAGCCAGCATTTATTGAGTGCCTACTGTGTGCCAGGCACTGTGCCAAGCACTCAACGTGCACACCAGCTGATGGGGGAGGAACTGTGCTGATCATTCCCGGCAGTCGATGACACAGCTTAAGGAGCTTGCCCAAGACCCCACGACCTGACTGGGAATGATGGAACCAGGACTCAGACCCAGACTGACTGTGTTTAGGGTTTGGACCTCTGAACCGCTCTTCCCTGCTTCCTGGCACCAAAGCCTGTGCCTTTATCCCTGGGCCCCGCTGGGCAGGCCGGCTGCCCAGGGCAGCAACCTGCTGGGTTCATGAGGAAGCAGGAATGAGTCAGAATGTGGGTGAGACTGTTCAATCCCTTTTCCAGCCCTGACTTCTCCCTAGTCAGCTCTGGCTCCCATAGAAGGAGCTCTGCCATTGTTAAAATAATCAAGTCCTTTAAGATGGTGCAGCTCCTGACCCCACCTAGCCGTGGGCCCAGGTCTGTCTGCCAGAGGATCCTCCCCCAGCCTGCAGGGAGCAGTCCCTCTAGGCCCTGAGGAGCATCTCGGAGGGAAGGTGGTGCGCTGGGAGCTTGCTCCTGGGAGCACACCTGGCTGACCCCCCTCCCACAGCCGCTCAGGCGTGAGCATGCTGTGCTGTTTCCAAACACACCATTGGCTCAGTTCCCAAGGCAGCCCTGTCGTGTGGGTGTGATCACCCACCCATTTGTAGTCAAGGGAACCCAGGTTTTCATTGCTGGCCTCCACACTCTGCAGAATGGATTTCACCTGTTGGATGAGCCCTCCAGGGGACGGCCCCACCCATCTCACCTCACTTTACCTCACAGGTCACCCTGGAGCTTTCTAATCCAGTGGTTCTCAAAGTGTTGTCCCTGGGCCAGTGGCATCAGCAGCATCAGGTAACCTGCTAGAGAGGCAAATTCTCCGCCGTACCCAGAGCTACTGAATCAGAGACTCTGGGGGTGGGCCCAGCAATCTGGGTGATTCTGGTGTCCCTCTAACGTGGGGGCTCTGCCTGGTTCATATTAATCACTCTGAGCCAGCGGTTCTTAAACTTAGCTGCACACTGGAATCACCTGCGGACTCTAAAAATACAGATGCTCAGGCCACACCGAGACCAACGGAATCAGAATCTCTGGGGTGGACATCAGCAGGTTCTACAGCTCCTGGGTGACTCCCATGTGCAGCCAAGACTGACGCCCATAGCTCTAGGCCTCACTGTTGCTTCTATAAGGTGATAACAGCTGAGCTACCCCAAGGCATTTTATTGGGGTCCTTTCCCTTCTGTGACCATGAGCTTGAATTCCGGATAAAAGGGAGGGGGTTGGTTCTCAAGGTGAGAGAACAGAAATTAGTTTTATTATAACAATGGTGAGAGATACGCGTGTTAAAGAGAAGGGTGTGTGTGTGTGTGTGTGCGCACGCGCGCGCGCATGTGCACACCTTTGCACAGGTGGAAGTTATTTCTTTTAGTGAATGTGCTTTTCATTTTAGCATCAAGGAAAAAAAACCCATTTATAATACAAAAGGCCTTGGACTTGGATCGCGGGAGCTCCTTCGTGCCTCCTCCTCTATTGGGTGAAAGGGCATAACCCGCCACTTTCTCCCCCTGCTTTCTCTTCAGGGGCTGAACTCCCGCCTCCGGATGGGGTCTGATTTGTAGCCCGTCAGAGTCTGGGCTGATGCCCGAGTGTTAGGCCTTGTCAGCTCCTGTCCTGGTTTGCCCACTCCTCTTTTTCTCTGGCAGCTCTGTATAGCTTCTGTGTTGACTGTGGAGACGACCCCAGCCTTGGCTTTGTTCTGCAGAGAGAGGGGGACTGTTAGGGCAGGGGGGCGCCTGACAGGGTACTCGCAGAGGTGCTTGGGCCGAGCACTTGACGTCCATTTGTCTCAGCTCACCCCCACGTGACCCCACAAAGTAGGTGCACCCCATCTTACAGGTGAGGAAACTGAGTCTCAAAGAGGCCCACAGCCTTGGAGAGGTGGAGCAGGATGGAAACCCAGCTCTGCCCTGCTCCACCTCACCCCACCACCAGATTTTGAAGCTAGAAAGACACCATCAGGAAATAAATGTTCTCTTTTCTTTCTTTTTCCACATGCTGTGTTGCTGACAGATCTGAAGGTCCTCCACGCTGACTTTCTGAGAAAAGAGAGTGCTATTTCTCCCCACACGTTGGCGTTCCAGACATCAAACTCGTGGTCCGGCGAGGACAGGTGTGTTACCTGTGGCTGGTGCTCCCTGGGGCCCTGCAGTCCTGGGACAGCCTGAACCTGCAGTTCAGATGGCAAAGCCTGGGGCCCTGCTCAGGGGGCTTAGGGTTCTGACCCTGAGGGGCCCTTCCAGAGCAGTCTGAGCCAGGAGTGCCTTCGCCTCCCGGATCCTCAGTTTCCCCATCTGTACTTCAGGAATAATACGGGGTGCAGTGACGAGGGAATGGGAGGCTGAGTCTGGGCCTGGCTGATGGTGAGCTCTCCATCCTCAGATGCTCTGGTTCCTTGGCCAGGACCTGGGGGGTGTAGGGGAGGGTGGCTGGGGAGGGAGCAGAGCAGAAAGGGCAGAGACTCAGTGGGGCAGCTGTTTTAGGGGGTCTGAGACGTTTCTAGAGATGAATCATAGGGCTGTGTGCTGACACCATAGCTGCGTGGGCTGGAGGCAAGCCAGTAATAGTGATTAAAAATATCACACTTTGGATGCAAAGATAATAGGAAATGGCTCACCCCCTGGTGACAGTTAGGTAAAGCTGTGTGCACAAGCACAATTAGGGGAACAGACAGGAAATTATGAGATCTGTGACAGGCAGTGAGATAATGGGGGCAGAGTGTCCTGCTTTTTTAATGTAGTTTTTAAGCTTTAAAAATAGGTCAAATGGGGGCCGGCCTGGTGGCGCAAGCCGTTAAGTGCGCACGCTCCGCTGCAGCGGCCCGGGGTTCGCCGGTTCAGATCCCGGGTGCGCACTGATGCACCGCTTGTCAAGCCATGCTGTGGCGGCATCCCATATAAAGTGGAGGAAGATGGGCACGGATGTTAGCCCAGGCCCAGTCTTCCTCAGCAAAAAAAAGAGGAGGATTGGCAGATGTTAGCTCAGGGCTGATCCTCCTCACAAAAAAATAAATAAATAAAATAAAAATAAAAATAGGTCAAATGGATCAACTTTACAAGAGGACATACGATACAGTTTCCCAGAGGAGAGCTCCCCTCTCTCCTTCTCTGAGGGAGGAACAGGAGAGATGTTGGAAGTCACGATGGGAACGTTCCCTTCTGCCAAGATGAAATAAGCACCTACTCCGTGCTGTGCCGTGGGCCACCTGCTCTGCCTGGTGGACCAGGACCTCACTGTCCCCGACTTCAGTGACTGTATAGTGTCCCTGGGGACACACACACTCCTCTCACAAACATGTACTGAGCACCTACATGTATAACCTTGGATCATTCACTCACTCAGCAAATATTTGTCGAGTACCTACTGTGCGCCAGGAACCATCTCGGGCTCTGGGAATCCAGCGGTGAAGCGTCCCTGCCCTCCTAGACCTGCCGGGTCTAGTAGAGGGAGAAAAACAGTGAGGTGACAAGAGTATGAGATATTAGATAGGGGCCCAGGCACTGAAGAAATCAGAACAAGAGGGCCCACCGGCCGGGGAGACAGCAGCAGGTCAGGCAGGGCTGATGCAGCTGGGTCAGCAGGGCTTCCCTGGGAGGAGGACTCCCTGCGGAGACCCACACCCCACGCAGGAGCCACCATGTGAAGAGAGCAGTGGTCCCTGCTGGGGGCACGGCAAGTGCAAGGGTCCCCAAGGAGGCAACACTGGTCACCTGGCATTGTCAAGAACTGGATCTCTGAGGACCAGAGACCTGGTCATTGCAGGGAGGTCATTGTGGGAGGAGGGTGGGCAGGCTGGAGAAGCTATGAGGAGGGCATATGCAGGCTGTGGAAAGGGGCTGGATTTGATTCCAGGAGCAATGGGGAGTCCCTGGAGGTCATGACATCACCTGATCAACGTTTTTAATGAGGGTCCTCTGACAGCTGGCAAGGTTGGCAGTGGTGTTCACCTCTTCCAAGCGAGAGAAGCAGAGGTTAAGCTGGTTGCCCTGGAGTAAATGAGCCTGTCCATCTGTCCAATCAGAGCCCAGCAAGGTCTAGACAGGCAGTAACGCAAAGCAGATGGGGACATGGAACACGGCAGAGGCACCAGCTAAGTGTTTCACACACATGGAGGCAACAGGGAGGGCTGGGTTCCCTTGGGTGATCAGGGAGGGCGTGGAGAGCAGGAGGCAAAGAAGAGTCCTCCCAGCCGAGAAGAAAATGAACACTTGACGTGCCGGGTGGAGGGAGGCCTTGGGGCCCTGGGGGAGAGAGCAGCTGGATAAGGGAAAGGTTGCAGATGGAGGGGCTGGACAGAGGGCCCCAGGAGCCAGAGGACAGGTGAGGAGCCTTGAAGGAGGGGGGACACTGAATGCTGGGCTGAGGGGTGGTGCCCCCGAAGCAGGGGAGCTTCTCTTGAGGCCAGCGTCAAGACTCTGTGCCCTTCGGGTGTCTCCAGGGCCAAATCCTGGCATCTTCAAAACACAGTGGTGGTGCTCTGTCCAAGGTCATCCGCAAAGCATCATCGCTGGCAGGCGACCAATCCCAGTGAGTCTGGTGTAGAGGTGGGGGCCCACTGGCTGGGTGATGAGTGGCGGCTGGCTCTGGCAGGCTCCTTGCCTAATTTGAGGAGCCCTTTCCTGGCGTTGTTGAGCATTGCCATGGTGCCTTCAGCACCTGACCCCAGACCAGTGGGCCAACTACTTTCAAGGGGGAGGCCACCCACCTCGTGCCGCCCACCCACAGCGACACTGTCAGTTCCTGTCCAAGAAGTCTAGACATCTCAGGGACGTTATAGGACTTGCAGTCAATTACGGTGCTGAGAACCAGCCCACGGCAGAGTGCAGCTTGCCCGAGGCACACGGCAGCTCTGACTGGTTAAACCTCCTAATTTCGCCTCTTCCCCTTTTAATTTCAAAAGGGCCAGTGTTCCCTGGAGGAAATGAGTAAGAAGTAAATAAAAACCCATCATCCCACCAATTAACAGTTGTCAATCCTTCCTTCCAGGCTTTTTTCTATGACTATATAATATTTAAATACAAAAATGGGGATATTTTGTCTCTCACTTTGTTCACTTTACAAGATACTGTGAACGTTCCCCATTCAGTCAGCGGTCCCCTACGAGAGAAATTTTCCTGGTGGCTTCCTGCTCCAGTGTGAGGGCGTGGAGCTGCCTGGCCCAACCCTCTGAGCGTTAGGTTTTTACAGTCATCCACCGTCTTCTCAGTGTTGTCATGAACCGTCTCTCAGCCAGCTCTTTGGACTAGCCTGTAATATTTCCTTAGGATAAATCCCCAGAAGTTTTACTGTGAGGTTAATTCCATGATTTAAATGTGGCAGTGACGTTGGGTTCCTTGAGAAGCAGAATTTGCAGCTGGAAACGAGACAAGTAGGCCAACCGCTGGCCCAGGGGGTCTTCCTCCTCTCCCTCCTGTCCAGTTCCCGGACTCCCAACCCTGGTTTCGCAGCGTTTGAGTGTTTTTCAGGGTGTGATGAAAATCTCTCTAGGAATAGGGCTTTGAACTCATTTTCCTTTCATCTGGAAGTCTTGATTTTTGTACGAGGTCTGGTAGGAAAGTTGGCTTCATGGTTCCACCCCAGTGGCAGAAATGGAGTGGAGGAGAGAGCTGCGTTTCTTCATTCAACCAAGTATTATTTTAAAATTTTTTATTAGCATATAACATACATAAAGGATGCAAATCCTAAGTGTACACACAATGAATTTTTATGTATAAATACACCCATGGAACCACCACCAGGTCAAGGTGAATGCCATTTCCTGCACCCTGGAAGATTCCCCTTCACGCCTTTGTAACAAACAACCATCGAAGGCCTACTGTGTGGCGAGCGGTGCTGGGGACACGGCTGGGAAGAGGAAATTATGGTCTGCCCTGTTGGGCGTTGAGCTCTGGTGACTGAGCCTTAGGGAACAGGACATTGTCACAGTCATCCTGCTGGTGCCCAAGACAATCCCCTCATGGAGCACAGGCCCTGTGTGGCAGTCATGTAGATTGGCCGCCGTGTGGATTGGGAGCAGGGGCCTTCATGTCCTCAGAGGGGCTCCACCTCCTTCCTCTTGCTGTGTGTGAGAGGGGTATGGGGAGCTAGAGCGGTGGATTCTGGAGTAGTGTCAAGGGAGTTCTGTCCTTGTTTCACCTCCTGTGCTACCTCTCTGAACCTCAGTTTCCCCACCAGCAAAATAATGATAGTTAAGCATTTACATACATTAGCTCACTTAATTATCACACAGTACTACATGGGAGGGGGCACTATTATCATTCCAAGCATCTAAATAAGGAAACTGAGGCACAGAAGAGGTTAAGTAACAAGCCAAGGTCCTACAGCTAGTAAGAGGCAGAGCTGGGATTTGAACTGCGAGCCCACTGCTCCTAGAAGATACCTTATAATAATAAGCATCTCACAAGGTTTGGGAGGATCCTGGGTCACAAACAGAAGTGTTTTGTGACAATGATAAGAATTATTATTAGTGCCATTGTGGCTGCAACAACATCTACCCTAATTATCTATCCAGCCATTACCTATCCTAAAAGGCTGGATGAAAGCCTGGGGCACCCTGGGACTGATGCCCCTCTGGGGCTCAGGCTGCTTATATTCCAGCAACAGAGAAAGGAGTTTTTTGCTGCAAAAGACAGCTGACATCTAGGGTGTCCCCTGAAGTGCTGGGTCAGCCAGGCACCTTACATTTGCATTATTTATGGAATCAACAGCCTGGAAGGTGGCCTCATCTCCAGGCTGTAGTGAAGAGAGTAAATCTCAGAGAGGTGACAATTCTCATCAAGCTTTCAACCGAGTCTGTCTAGGGCCATTGGCAGGACTTGCCGGAGCCTCTTGCTTTTCTTGGCTGCTTCTCTGTCTCACGCATCTGCCCATCCCACGCCGTCCTGGCCCTCCAGCGCCCTGACCACTCCTAGTCTCTGAGAGACACAGGCTGGCTCCAGACGGGGTGATTTTTTAAAACCAAGGAATCCTGCTAGGGCCGGCCCCGTGGCTTGGTGGTTAAGTGCGTGTGCTCCGCTGCCGGCGGCCCGGGTTCGGATCCCGGGTGCGCACCGAGGCACCACTCCTCCAGCCATGCTGAGGCCGCGTCCCACATACAGCAACTAGAAGGATGTGCAGCTATGACAGACAACTATGTACTGGGGCTTTGGGGAAAAATAAATAAATAAAATCTTTAAAAAAAAAAAAAAGGAATCCTGCGAGGCATTCGTAGGACTCAGGGTGTGGCCAAGGAGGGACGTGTCCACCATGTCTTGTGTCTTTGCTTAGGTCAAGGTGGCTGTCAGCACCCCCCTCAACACCATCGTGGGCAAGTACCACCTGCAAGTGAAAAGTGGGAACAAACACATCTTTAAACATGAAGAAAACATTTTGTACATTCTCTTCACCACATGGTGTGAAGGTGATATGCAACTCAGGCTGGCTGGGAGAGTGTCGGGGGAGACTCACTTGAGGAAACAAGAAGCAACCGTGCAGAGTCTATGAACTTCACTTGCTCTTGAGACACTTGCAACCTAGGTGAAGGGACCTGACCCAGGAACAGATAACGGACACTTTGGAGCATCCTCTTTGTGGCCGAGCTCCTCTGCCATATCCCTTCTCCTCCTCTCCTGCCTGACTGCACCCCAGCTGGCTTTTGCCTCCACCACTGTACAGAGGCTGCCCTTGCGGAGGGGTCACCAACAACTTCTTACTCACCACCTCCGGGGGCAGGGCCTGAGTCATGACTGGTGTTCCCTTCCTTCTGAAATTCTCTGCTCTTTTAGGTCTCTTCTCTTTTCTCCATCTTTCATTGGCCCAACTCGTTCCTTCCTGTGGCTACACTGGAGCCTTTATGCAAACGTGACTCGAGGTCACTTGCGCCATCACCAGCAACGGCCTCTCTCCCAACAGTGCTGGACATCATGTTGCATCTTGTTGATGCCAACCTTTTTCCACACCTTCCCCTCCTCCCGAGGCTTCCTGGGGTTAAAAGCCATCAGGTGAACAAGCTAGAAACCAGGGGGCTCTTTTTTTAAAATTTTGTGTTTGGAAACGATTTTGAGCTCAGAAAAGTGGGCAAAAATGGTATAAAGAACACTCATATACCCTTTATCCAGATTCACCTATTGTTAACATTTTGGACTATTTGCTTCATCACTCGCTCTCTCTCCACACACACACACACACACACACACACGCACACACACATGCACACTTTACTTTTGGACCATTTGAGAGTAAGTTACATACATTATAGCTCTTTACCCCTAAATACTTTAGAGCGTATTCTCTAAGAACAAGAACGTTCTCTTATACAACTGTAATATGGTTATGAACTTCAGTAAATTCAGTGTTGACTTAACACTTGTATCTAATCTAATTATCGGTGTTCCAGGTTGGTCGGTTGATACAATCATGTTCTTTTTAACATTTTTTCCCTCCAGGACAGGATCTGGTCCAGGGTCATGTGTTGCATTCAGTTGTCGTGTCTCTTTACCTTCTTTAATCTGGGACATTTCCTCAGCCTTTCTTAGTCTTTTTTGACATTGACATTTTTGAGGAATGGATCTCTCCCTTCATTTTTAACAGACCATTCCTCATTTGGGGTTGGTCTGATGATTCAGCATCTTTAGATTCAGGTTATGCATCCCTGGCTGGAATTTACATAAGTGATGTTGTGTCCTTCTCAGGACACCAATCTGGAGGCACACGATGTCCACCCGCCCCTCATTGCGGATGTTAAATTTGGTCATTTGGTCAAGATGTCGTCCAATTTCTCTGCTCTGTAATTACTATTTTTTCCTTTGTAACTAATAAGCAGTCTGCGTGGGGATGCTTTAAGACCATGCAAATATCCTGCTTCTCATCAAAATTCCCCACCCCTAGATTTAGCATCCACCGATGGCTCCTGCCTGAACCAACCTTCACTATGATGGTTGCATAGTGATTTTCCAGACCCAGCTATCCCTCCACACTTACCTGCTGGCCTCCAGTATTCTCCTCGACGCAGAGCCCTCCCTTCACCCCCATCTATCTATCATCTGTCTGTCTATGTATGTATGTATGTATGTATGTATCTATCTATCTATCTATCTATCTATCATCTATCAATCAATCTATTTATCATCTGTATGGACTCACGGATCTCATTTTTTCCACAATGGTTTACAGTTCATTCCTGTTCTTAATCATGTTTGTGCTCAAGTTGCCCCAGATTTGCCTGGTGGAATTCTCTTACAGCTGGCTTAGGAAGTTCTTTTGCATGAGGAAGATTCACGCTGAGCTAACATCTGCACCAATCTTCCTCTATTCTGTATGTGAGTTTCCACCACAGCATGGCTGCCAACAAGTGGTGTAGGTCTGTGCCCAGAAACTGAACCTGGGCTGCCGAAGTGGAACTTAACCACTAGGCCATGGGGCCGGCCCCAGGAAGTTCTTTTTGGTGCCTTCTTAGCCCTCGCCTCCCATGCCCTGCCCTCTGACACCCACTGTCCCATACCCCTCGTGAAGACCTTGCAGACGCCCAGCCCAGGCAGCCTCCTGTGTCCCAGGGAGTGGATGATGACCCCGTGTGTGTGTGCTCTTGCTTCAGAGGACATGGTCTTCGTGGCTGCTGAGGGGAGCAAAATGAGCACATCCTCAACACAGGCTACCGTTACACAGGTTTCACTCACTCCGTCAAAGAAAAACCCTGGAACTTCCGTCAGGTAATGAATTTGTCATCCTGTGGCTGGACCAGACCTGACTTGTTGGACCCTCTTTTTAGTTAGGTAGTAGCCAGTAAAGGTTGTGGAGAAAAGTTTGTGAGCCTCAGGTCAAACCCCAGCCTCATACATGTGAAACGTGTTCAGAGAGTGGGTGACCTCCCCAGACTGTGTAGACAGGTGGTGGACTCAGAGCTGGAAGCCCTTTCTCCAGGCCCTGCCTGGGGCCTTTCCCATCCTCCTCTGCTTTCTGCCACCCCCTACCTCCCAGTGTATTTATCAAAGAACGAACCACTTAACAATTATTTACAAGGAAGCCCCATTACAATTGGAATGTTGGCGTAGATAAAGAACTTCTAAAACTTGAGGGAGAGTTTTTAGAAGATTTTGTTCTGGAGACCTCTGATGAGTGGAAGGATGAATGTTTCTGTGTAGCCATGAGGCAGAGCAACAATGTGGAAAGAGGCAGGGCTCCATGACTCTAAAGGCACAAGTCCAGGAGTGAGGATTCACGGCACCAGAAACTTCCAACCTTCCCTCTCACTAGATTTTGCAACAAAAACCTTCTGGAAAATGTCATGCTCTACAGAACTGCTTGGCTTCCCTCTTCTCCCCGGGTCTGGACACCCAGGAGAGGATGGAAGTGGGGACAACAGAGGAGGGACTCTCATGAGTGAGGCCTGCTGTGTGCACTCTGCAAGATGCTTCATGTACATCCTCTTGGTTCACCCTCACTTCATCCCTGGAGGGCCGACCTACCATCGCCATTTACAGAGGAGGAGGCGGAGGGAAACAAAATGGGAGCAAGTGACTGGCAGGAGAGGTGGGGGTGGGGGGTCAACAGAGAAAAGAAACAGCCAAAATGAAGACCACAGGAGGGTTGGGGAAGAAGGAATCACTCGAATCCTAGGTAGTTACCCCTCTTAGAAAATCAAGGATGACTTTAAGAACCCTAAAGGATTATAACCACAGAACTCTCCCAGATGCCTTCTGGAGAATGAAGATTATTATATATTCCTTTTATTTTGGTAGGTTCCCTCTCAGAGTACAAAAGTAACACACGTACTTCAACTCTGTAAATATACTAAACCATTGAATTGTCCAGATTAAAGGGTGGATTTTATGGGATATAAATTATATCTCAATAAAGTGATTTAAAATAAATATATAAATAGAATTAAAAAGTAACACATGCTTATCACAAAAGACTTACAAGACTTAGAAAACACAGAAATGTGGAAAGAAAATGAAATCATAATCTCCTCCTTCAGTGATAACATTTTAATGTTTCACTTTTTTTTCTATTACTAATGCTTTCAAAGTTGACATAATGTTATATGTGCACACCTTTGTAGTCTATTTTATTTAACTTGATCAGAAAGGAATTTTCCCCATGGTATTAAAAACTCTTCTGGAGATGGCCCAGTGGTTAAAGTTCGGCACTCTCACCGCTTCAGCAGCCCAGGTTTGTTTCCTGGTTGCAGAACCACACCACCCATCTGTCAGTTGCCATGCTGTGGCAGCGGCTCACACAGAACTAGAAGGACTTACAACTAGGCTATACAACCGTCCAGTAGGACTTTGGGGAGAAGGAAAAAAAAAAACTCTTCTAATACCTCTTTTTAATGGCTACATAATATTCCACCCTATGGCTTTATTTAACTGTTGCCCTGTGAATGGACATTTAAAGGGTCTCTGATTTTTGATGCTGTGGTAAACTTCTTTGTGATTTCCCTGCCTGGAGATGGGTTATCCCATGGTGATTGTGAAGTGCAAATTAGATAGTATGTGTTAAGTTTCTGACATAGAGCAAACACTTATTAATGACCTCTTTTTTAATTTCCCAAAATAGTTTGAGAAAAACATCCTGAATTGCTGCATTTACCTGCTGAGCCAGAGTCCCCTCGAGACCATGGAGTTGAAGGACTCTGTGCTGGTGTCCATGGCAGTGTGTGCTCTGGTAGGTGGGGGAGGCCTGCCCCACTGGCCCCCATCTCCCTTGCTTGGACATGCCCCTCAGTGCCCTGCCCTTTTGCTGCTAAAGCCTGCACTCTGGAGAAAGCAGTGGGGGGCCCTTAATTCCTGGAGAAATCCCCTTCTCTTGCCCATAAAGTATGTATAGGTTTGGACAAGACCTCCAGATCCAACCTCTCTTCCGCCAGGAAGATCTCTCTGGCTATGAAGTCAGTGCCTGGCCGCCTCTGGTGGTCACAGAGGTCACAGCTCAGATGCCCCCTCTTGAGGGAGACCTTCCCAGGCTCCCTGGGCCAATGGAGCCTGCTGCTCTCACGGGGACCTGTTGTATTTTCTTCACGGCACTTGTCATTCCTAAAAGTGTTTGTGTGATCCGTGTTATTTTCTGACCCCCAGCCCCCACTCCCCACCCACCGAGACCAGAACATGAGCTACTTGAAGGTGGGTCTGGTCCCAAAGGGCCCCTGGAACAGGGCCAGGCTCAGGTGGACCCTGCCCACTCTGGCCCTTACTGGGCTCCCATTTGCTTGAACTATCACAGCTCTGAGAGTCCTTCATATGTTTTCTTAACCAAATAATAACAATAAAAGTAATAATGATAGTAAACCACAACTAATATCCCAAAGAATATATACATTGAATCTCACTGTAAAAAATTCCAATAATGTAGAAGTCAGTAGAGTAATTTTGCCCCAAATTTGATGCTGTCTTGTGCTGTTCACCAACTGCTCAGCAGTGTTTAGGTTTTTCCCCTCAGCTGGGCTGTAAGCTCTTTGAACCACAGCACTGTGCTGTGCCCAATCAACCATTTCAAACTATCAAGAAATACACACTTGCCTAGGTCTATTCTGAGTGCCAGTTTTCAAGTCAGACCTGAGTTCAGAACCCCAGCCCTGCCACCTGGGGGTGACTGTAGGCAAATGGCTTCACCTCTCCCAGACTCAGCTTCTGCATCTGCAAATGGTTCAGGTGAAAGATTCTCTTCCTGCCTGCAAGCTGGGCTCCAGCTTAGGTGGGCAAATTATTCCAGTTCTCTTGGGACGTTCCTGGTTTTAGGACTGAGAGTGCTGTGTCCCAGGAAACCTCTCAGTCCTGGGCAAACAGGATGGCTGGTCACCCCAGTCCACCTGGCACGTGGAAGTCCGTTTGCCCAGAGCAGCAGTTCTCAGCCAGTTAGGTCCCTTTACACTCTTACAAATTATCGAGGACCCCAAACAGCTTGTGTTTATGACGTTTCTATCTGCAAATATTTACCATTTTAGAAATTTAAACTGGGAAGTTTAAAAAAATTCACTTAATTTATTCTAAAAGAAAGAATAATAAATTCACCGCATGTTAACATAACATATTTTTGTGAAAAATAACTATTTTTTGGAAGCCTAAAATATGTAGGGAGAAGAGTGGCACTGTTTTACACTTTTGTAAATCTTTTTAATGTCTGGCTTAATAGAAATCAGCTGGATCTTCTTACCTGCTTCTGCATTCACTCTATGGAGGTGTATTGTTTTAGTTGACTTCCCCAGATATGTACATGAAAATGGCAGGAAGATTTCCACAGCCTTTTCAGATAATGTTGGATAGTCTTCTTTGATTCTACACCTGTGCACAACAAGTGGCGGTTTCTTAAAGTTGATTGCAATATGGAATCTGAAACCACATCAATGAGCTTTTCATCTTCTGTACACTTGTGAGAGAATAAGAGTGCAAAACGCAAATAATATCTTGATATTATTGTGCAAATAGTTTTAATCATAGACCTCGGGACTCACAGGGGTCTCCCAACCACACTGAGAACGCTCTCCAAGGGCCCACAGAGACTTTAGCCAAGTGGTTGTTTTTGCCATCTGGGTGGTAGGCAGCCGTGTGTTCATCTCTAGGTGAGTCTGAAATGCCCCCTTTGCCAGGTGGCTGTGAGTGTGTGCCCAGCACACGTAGGGTACTCTATAAATGGTTGGGGCTCCTGTTCCCTCATGGCCTGCCTGGTAGTTCCAGGTTAGTGGCTGGTGGGATTACCATGGGGCCCTCACACTGACCTTCTGTGGGCCAGGCACAGAGCCTACCATGCCCACAAAGTGCCCACTCCTTCCCCTTTAACCCCATGCTGGCACATTCTCCAGTCCAGGGGGTCAGCTGGGTGGATGGGCTGAACTATAAGAAACAATTGTTACCCAATGCACACAGAAGCCAATACCATGGCTCTGGCTTTTGAGAAAAGAAAAGGCTTTACTGCAAGGTCAACCAGCAAGGAGACAGGAGACAAAGCTCTCAAACCTGTCTCCCCGATCCAAGGTTCAGGGCAAAATTTAAGGAGTTAAGGGCTTCTAAGCTGCAGCTGAGCCCATGTAAACTGATCGGCTAGTCTCGAATCAGTCCATAATTAAGCTACGTGGGCTACTGGAAGCCAGATTTTCCTAATCGAAGGACTTCTCACAACATTTCTGGAGATTCTTCATTTCAGGGTCACCCTGGGGCTATGGGTTCCCACCTGGCACATGAGCAGTGCTGTCTCTATTATTGAGCAAGGTTTGATTAATCAACAACCTGTTTTAAGGAAGCAAAACTAGTTTAAGCTGGTCAATGTTTTATGTGCTGTTTCAGATGAGTAAAAGAGACTGAGTCACTGGCAGACAGAGCTTGCGATAAGAGGCTCTAGTTCTCAGGGGTGCAAGTGGACTTGTACATAACTGGCTGCTTCTCTCCTTGCAAGCTCTATGACCTGGGCAAGACTCTGAGCCTCTCTGGGTTTCCATCATCTTATCTTTTGGGTTATTATGAGGATTCAATAACACGTAACAAGTACCCAGCCAACACCTGACACGGTGTGGGCCTGTTAGTAGCCTGTTCCCAGGTGATTCTTCTGAGTGTTGGAGTTTGGGAAGCAGTGGGCTAGGTCAATGCTTGTTTCAAAGATGAGGACACCAGCCCAGAGAGATGCGGCAGGTGGCCCCAGGCTGCACAGCAAGGTGGAGGCTGAGTCAGCTCTACTGACTCCAGTGTAGGGCTCCCTCCTGACATCCTCCAAGCCACCTCTTCAGGCTGTGGGCGAAGCATGAGCACCCTGGACTCCTAGGTGTTGCAGGAGTCCCTTCCAAGATTAGGTTACAAAAAATCAGGTCACATATTTGGGAATTTGAGAGCCCCAGCTGACTTTGGAGGCCCTCTGCTGTAAGGAGGCCCTGACAACTTTTCCCCTCCCGGGTCCCCTGTCAATATTGCTCCTTCATCCCTAGAAATGTGCAGCCCTCAATGGGCCTGCTGGATCCACTGTGGACCTATGACCACCAGGCAGGGCTTCTGGTCAGGGCTGCCTATCTAGGGCCCCCACCCCAGGCAAAGAAACTTGGCGGAGCAGTTAGTGTATTAGTTATCTGCTGCTGTAACAAATTACCCCAAAATGTAGGGCCTCAAAACAACAGATGTTATCATCTCACAGTGTCTGTGGGTCAGGGATCCAGGCGTGGTGTTCCAGCTCAGGGTCTCACAGCTCGCAGGTGTCTCAGTGCTCGACTGGGGGAGGATCCCCTCCAGGCTCACGCACGTGGCTGCTGGCAGGCCCCAGGGCCGTGGACATCAGTTCTTCACCCCACGGGCCTCTCCATAGGGCAGCTCATAACTGGACAGCTGCTCCCATCAGAGCCAGCGAGTGAGAGAGGGAGCGCTGCGAGTGAGAGAGGGAGCGCTGCAGTGTCTTTGTAACCCTCTCTCAGAAGGGACATCCATCACTTTTGCTGTGCTCTATCGCTTAGAAGTGAGTCACTAGGGCCGGCCCTGTGGCTTGGCGGTTGAGTGCGCGTGCTCCACTGCTGGCGGCCCGGGTTCGGATCCCGGGCACGCACCAGTGCACCGCTTCTCCGGCCATGCTGGGGCCACGTCCCACATACAGCAACTAGAAGGATGTGCAGCTATGGTATATAACTATCTACCGGGGTTTTGGGGGGAAAAATAAATAAATAAATAAAATCTTAAAAAAAAAAAAAAAAGAAGTGAGTCACTAGGTCCAGCCCACACTCTAGGAGAGGGACTTCCACGACGGCAGGAGGTGGGTATTACTGGGGCCATCATAGAGTTTGCCTACTTACCACACCTGGGAAGAGGAATGTGCTTTGTTCCACAGGAAACAGAACATGGTCCATTAGGACTTTTGAAAGTGTGAGTATCCTTGGAGCTCAGCATCCCCCCCACTCCCCCGCCTCCCCCCACACTGCTCTATGGTTGGCTTGGGTCCAGGAGGCACTGACAGGCTGGGGCCACTAGACAGGATGGGAGGAAAACCTGCAGCCCAGAGCAGAGTGGTGACAGAGTTAAGATGGCATGTGTGTCCCTCCTCCCCAGGACCCTTTGCCTGTCTCCCTTCCGTGTATTTGTGCTCCTTCTGATCACCCTTGGGCTGGGGGCTACTCTTTGCTCTCCCTCTGATTTTGGTAGGTGGAAAGGGTTGTCCAGCTACCTTACCTAAGAGGTCGCAAGAGGCCCAGGCCACACCGTTCTTTTGAGGCTCCTTATAAATTAAAACTGAACAGCCTCCAAAACAGGCTTCAGAAATTGTGGCAAATTGTAAAAGTTTTCATTTAACAAACTGCTATCTTTAATATCCGGGGAGACGGGGGGAGTGTAATTGTGCTTTTCACCAGGCATGATGGAGTTTGCAAAGAATGTTAATGTGCAGGCCAGGAGGGGGTGGGTAGGTGGGTGTGGCCAAGCCCAGGCCACCAGTTCAAAGATCTGTGACAAGTGTCATCTTCTTTAGTCCTTTCAGAAGGTTCCTCCCCACCTGCCTGGACAACCTTTTTAGAGATTACATCAAAAGTCTAAATTAGGGCCCTTTGCTAATTTATGTTTAAATTATTTATACAGCACTTATGTGTCCAGCACTGTTGTATTTATAACAGAAATTTATAATTTTTATAGGTCTCCCAGTTGAAGGTGGAGCCAGACAGGGATGGCTACTCTCACAGCTTTTATTCAGAAGTTGCTCTCAAGTTCTAGCTCATGTACCAAGACAAGGAAACAAAAAAGACTCGAAACTATTGGAAAGGAAGCACTACAACTGTATTATTTGCAGATGATATAATTGTCTACCTAGACAACTAAGAGAATCAACTTAAAAATAGCAAGAACTAATCTGAGAGTTGAGAGACTGGCCAGTTACAAATTACTGATCCATAAAATCAGAATCCCTGCAAATGGCAGTCCACGGTCCAGGAAAAGATTGAAACTGTTAATCCATTCATTAATTCATTCAGCAAACATTTATTAGGTGTCTATTATGCCTCAGACACCAAAGACATCAAGGCAAATAAGATTTGGTCCTTGCCTTGAGGAGTTCACCGCGTCTAGTGGTGAAGATCCCCTGGCTCTTTGGGAACCACAGGCCAGATTAGGGTCTGATGAGACTCCCCCCACCCCACCTACTTGCACCCTGCTTTGTGCCCCACAAGGCTTTCTAGGTGGGGCAGGAGGGGCTCAGCGATGGCCCCACCCTTGCCAGTGTTGACAAAGGTTCCCCAACTCCTGAGAACAACCTCAGTAGGTTTCTGATGATGAATATGTCCCTGGTCATTTAGGTATGTTTATCTCTAGGGGTGGTTTGGAGTGGGTCCTGTTCACAAACTGCCACATGGATTTCCATGTGTGGACAGAAGTCTGGACGAAGTGACTAGATCTGCCTGAGGGCTATGACACCGGCAGGCGGGGGACAGCAGGCTGCAGGAGCTCAGCTTGGGTGAGGAGGGGCAGGTGGGACGTTGCTCTGTGTCTGTGATGCTCTCCTGCCCTGCCCTATGTTCTGGGGGTCTTGGGTATGTAGCCACGCAGGTGTGGAAAGTTCTAATAAAAATCTCCAGAAACAAAAAGCATACCCATTCTCTCCTGCCATTCCCACTGAGAAGGGAATTCAGTTTGCCAGATATTTTATAAATATAATTCTAATAATAATACTAATGACAATAATGATATAGTAGCATAAGGGGTCTCTACCGTGTGCCATGTACGGTACCTACATGATCCATTTAACTCACAACTAACCTTTCGAGATAAGTGCAGTCTTATGCCCATTTTACAGATGAGGAAACTGAGGCTCAGGAAAGTGAAGAGAGTTGACTGACGTCACACAGCTCCTCATGGCAGAACCCGGACTGGAGCCCGAGTCGGATGTAATGGGATGATTACCCACCTTTGTCATGGGTTGCCCAGTCCTGGGTAGGACAACAGCCCCTCGTAGCTGGAAGGACCTTGAGGGATGTCTTTGTAGCAGAAACTATTTTTCTTGAATAAATGCCCCTCAGATTATCACAAGCCTTTGCTTAATTTCAAGAGTTCTGAAAAAGTTGATTTTGATCATTTTTGCCAGTGTTCTCATTGCTTTTATGGAGAAGTGGATTTTTGGAGGTCTTTATTCTGCCATTTTCACGGGTGTCAGAATGTGCTATTCTTCAGGAATGGGGATTTGAACACCTCTCTGTGTGAATTCATAGCTCTTGGGCTCCTGGAATGTCTCTGAAGTCCCCGTGGATGGGCAGGCTGCTTTTGCCTCCAGGGTGGGTTGGGATATTTGGCCCCTGGAGGAGCACTCTAAGGAAGCTGCTTTTTTGTTTTTGGTGAGGATTGGCCCTGAGCTGACATCCATTGCCAATCCTCTTCTTTTTGCTTGAGGAAGATTGTCCCTGAACTAACATCTGTGCCCATCTTCCTCTATTTTGTATATGGGATCCCACCACAGCGTGGCTTGATGAGCAGTGTGTAGGTCCGTGCCCGGGATCCAAACCCTTGAACCCTGGGCCGCCGAAGCAGAGCAGGTGAACTTAACCACTGTGCTACCGGGCTGGCCCCTAAGGAAGCTGCTTTTGTGTCTTTCTCAGGCTCCCCTGAGGAGAGGGTGGTCATGACCCACACATCCTCTCTCTTCAGTTATGAGAGTACAAACTACCTAAAAAGGAGGACCTTCTTCAGATGCATGTTCAGGCAGATCCTGTGTTGCTGGGAAACGCTGTCAAGTTCACCATCACTCTCAAAAGAAAGACAGCTACCCCGAAGACTGTCAACAGTGAAACCGGTAAACAGCCACTGAGGATTAGGTAGCTAGTAACCAAAGGTTTTTTTTGCGATTACTAATTATAGTTTTCGGTTGTTCACTCACTCATTGGTAACTGTGCTGCATAGGCAATATACAATCTGACTCCCACTAGGTTCCTATAGATAACATCTCCCTGGTGCCTGGGTCACCATGGTAACAGATGTGTGAGCTGTTTTTCAGGAATTAGGAACCCCTTGTCCAGTTCACGCCAGTTGAGACCACCAACCCATCAACTGGGCCTGCCTAGGTGCCCGATAAGTGACCTCTTCATGTTAAGAGGCTAAAAGCTCCACCCTTAGATCATGCTAACGCCACCATTTTGTGAACGTGCATCCTATAAAGAGGCATGAAGTCTGACGACGCTTGCACAGGTCATCAATTACCTCACTTCTCCTTACCTCCAATCATCTATCCCCACATTTCAGACCACCTTGCCCCCCTACCCCATAAATATCCCTGAGTCCCCATTTTTGAGTAGGTGGAGTTGAGACTTGTTCTCCCACTTTCTCACTTGGTTGCCTTGTGATTAAAACCCAGCAGAGGCTGCAATCTCATAGTTTAGATGATGGGCAAAAAGGAACCTGGTTCAATAATAACAGCTCGGGCTCCTTTCAGCTTCAGACATACATGGGCAAAGACACAACAAGCCTGGGTGTCCTCCATAAGACCACACAGATGCAAAAGTCAAGGTACCAGAACCAGGAGCAGGAGACGCCTTGGACTCTAAGAGGGATCAGGGTCCCTAAGGATCTGAGATGCCCCTCTTCTCTGTGGACTATTTCCATATACTAAAAAACTTTTGTGTGTGAGTAAACATAAACATTTATTGAGCACCTATCATTTGGTAGTCACAAGGAATTCAGGCACAGAGAACATGTGGGCCAAAGAGACTACTGGACCAGGAGACTGGCGTCTATCACAGAGTCAGAAATTAGGAGTGCTGAAAGTGTCATTAGAAGTCTTCTTTTGTGATGGCAAACATTTTTAGGGCCGGCCTGGTGGCACAAGCGGTTAAGTGTGCACGCTCCACTTCAGCGGCCCAGGCTTCGCAGGTTCGGATCCCGGGCGCACACCAATGCACTGCTTGTCAAAGCCATGCTGTGGCAGTGTCCCACAGAAAGTGGAGGAAGATGGGCACGGATGTTAGCTCAGGGCCAACCTTCCTCAGCAAAAAAAAAAAAAAAAAAAAAAAA